TTATCCTAATATGTGTGTAGGGCACATAATGAGAAAAGAGTGCGTGGAAAACTAGATACTCACATAGCAAGAAGGACAGAGAAAAACTATGCATCACCTAGCGAACGAGATTGAGGAAATGGATGGTGGAGCAAGGTTTTAGGAAAGATAGTAAAAGACAAAGAGCTGAAAAGGACAAGAAATTGTAGAGAGCCATGATCACCAACGTCCTACAAGGATGCAAATGTCACATAGAAGAGGAATGTATGATGGTAGTGAAAGAGTTATCAACTTTGAAAGAGTATTGGACGAGCCAATTTCAAATTCTAGTTGAGTTCATTGCGTTCACTTTCACACAAATCCTCTTGAGAAAGGATATGAAACTATTTCATTCCTACCAGCTATGGTTTTAAATAGACTGGCATCTAGACAACACTGATTTCAAAACCATTTAGGTGTTGGGAAGGCAACCACACCTCGTAAAACTTACGAAAACTCCAGCAGCAACAACCTGGCCCTATACTACATAGAGGTGGGTGGTGTTGGTAAAAAGCCAGACGGCTAAAGGCGTTTGTCTACGAATGCGAAATCGTGTCTCTTTCCCTTTCTCAGACTCTCTGTCTGTCTGTCTCTCTATATATATATATATATATATATATATATATATATATATATAATAGATACACCTAGTGACAGACAAACCTACCTAGGTTTCACCTAAACGGATCGTGATCCGTTTAGGTGAAACCTAAAGGTTTGTCTGGCTCACTAGGTGTATCTAGGTCTGCTCTACGGTTGTATTGAGCTCTTTTGTTAGTTAGTTGTTACTCGTATCGGGTTTTTTTTCTTTGGGCTTCAGACCTGCATCTGTGCGATTTTTTGTCGGCAGAAGTCCATGTTTGTAGCTCTTTCTTTTTTAAAACCTTTTATTCCTCGAGATTGATTTGATTAGCAAATCAAAAATTCGAGGTTTTTTTTCGAAACGAGTCTAGTTATCTATATATATATATATATATATATATATATATATATATATATATATATATATATATATATGTTTGAATAAAAAAACAGACCACGTTAAGATTCCATGTAATAAGCTATTTCACCATAACCCCTTTAACAGGGTTCTGGATCATCAGACTTTACTTCCAAAAGCTGAAATGAAAAATGAAAAGAAATTCACACGTTTTTGACGGACCTCATCAAGTATACGTAAAATTAACGAAGTGAGGAAGTGAGGTGGGAGAGAGAACATATGACACACTCATATCCTCCTGACCAAAGCAGATGCAAAATATCTCCGAAAAAAATATTCGTAATGTAAACAATCACAGAATAACGACTTTAGAGTTAATATATAAAACTTTTTATGCGAAAAAAAAAGTATCTCAGTGAATAGGAAAATGTCTTTAATGTATTTGAACTTCATTTATTTTCTTATCTTTCAAATTTTGCTTCAAGACAAATTACTTAAATCTAAAATCTAAATTATTTCTGCCAAAGCCTAAATTTAATGTGAAAACAAATGTATGTCATCGAGTTAACACTTAATAGATATTGAACTGATTTTTGGAGACAACCTGTGTCAATAAGCAGAATGAAAAATTGAATAATGATTTCAAAATGTCCACCTGTATATGGCTTTAATACATTCCGTTTGCATATGCCAAACAATGACAATTGGACAGCTGGACGATCTCACTTGTCCGAGGGCCAGGGCATATGTAGATGAGCCTTGGAAATCTGAACAACAATACATTTTGGCTGACGTCCAACGTCGAGTCTTCTTAGATGACAACGAAATGCTTCAGGTCTTTGAATGAAGGATTCTTCCTTAGGAGTAAATAAGAATTTCAACGAAATGGTAATGAATGGCTGACATCGAAGTTGTAAAGCGTATTCAATTTTCTTTCTTTCTTTCTTTCTTTCTTTCTTTCTTTCTTTCTTTCTTTCTTTCTTTCTTTCTTTCTAAATAGTCTTTCTTTCTTTCTTTCTTTCTTTCTTTCTTTCTTTCTTTCTTTCTTTCTTTCTTTCTAAATAGTCTTTCTTTCTATCTTTCTTTCTTTCTTTCTTTCTTTCTTTCTAAATAGTCTTTCTTTCTTTCTTTCTTTCTTTCTTTCTTTCTAAATAGTCTTTCTTTCTTTCTTTCTTTCTTTCTAAATAGTCTTTCTTTCTTTCTTTCTTTCTTTCTTTCTTTCTTTCTTTCTTTCTTTCTTTCTTTCAAATCATATTTCTATTTGACGCGTCCACCTCCTTAAACACACACACACAAGCATACGATCACGCGTTTCACACACACACACGCGCGCACACACACACGAAAACATTCACGCACACACACAAGCGCGCATAATTTTATTTCCTTTTTGAATATCTTATTTATTTTCTTTATTTTTATACCATTTTTTTTATTCGTATTTTTTATTTCTATAAAATAAAATTACAGATGATTTGTCAGTTTATGTTTATCATTTCTTGCGATAATTAATAATAGGTTCTTGATATATATATATATATATATATATATATATATATATATATATATATATTGAGGAGGCCCAACATCTAATAAATCGTTTCTCTGCTGCATGTAAAGCCTTTGGTCTTACACTTAGCATAAAGAAAACCGAAGTTGTCCACCAACCTTGTCCTACTCCGAAGCAATTGCGTGGTGAGAAACAAAAACCATCAGTCTACAAATTTCCAGGGAGACCATTGAAAGTAGAAGACAAACCCCTGAACTATGTAAAGTCTTTCACTTATCTTGGTAGCAACGTCAACTACAGTGGAACTTTAGATGATGAAATCATGCATCGGATTGCTAAGGCTACCAGTGCTTTCAGCAAACTTCACCATCGCTTGTGGAATGTGCAGGGTATTCGACTGGATACGAAAATTCGGGTTTACAGAGATGTTGTACTTGGCATCCTTTTGTATGGCTCAGAGTCGTGGAGATCAACGTGTTTTAGTGGACTCAGCAATTTTCAATCTGCTTGTCTGAATAATCTTCAAGAAGTGAGAGCGAGATCTAAAAGGTCAGTCAATGTAACAGTGATCCCATCTCACATTCCTCACACTTGCTCCATATGTGGCCTCCTTTGTAAATCACTAACGGGTCTTAAATGCCACTTAAGATTATCGCACAAACTTTCATAACTGAATCAATAAGCAGTCAGATCCACATACGTCGAAACAGACGGGAGTGTCCATTATTATTATTATTATTATTATTAAATATTAAGACGTTTTTATGTTTATACATTCTTTTTTTATAGATGCAGATATTTAAGTAAATGCTCTGTTTATATCAAACAGTATTAACAACATTTACCGGCCGAGAAATTGTCATAGAAAATATGCGTCCTCAGACAGGAATCGAACCTGTATCCTATACGGAACCGTCATTAAAGTAATTTTCGGACTTTGTCCATTTCATAATGTGTAACGTCATTTGTTTACATTTGGATACGCATCGAGCAGATATGAATGTACGTGAGAAAATCATGGGAAATTGTAGTTTAAAAACAGTAAAATCGACCTTGCTAACCGAAAAGCTCCTCTGTGGCGAAATCAGTAAAAGCAAGTCAGGCTATATGACGGTTCCGTATAGGATACAGGTTCGATTCGGAGGACGAATATTTTCTGTGACAATTTCTCGACCATTCAGGCCGGTAAATGTTGTTAATACTGTAAACAGTAAACAGAGCATTTGCTTAAATATTTGTATCTATAAAAAAGAATGTATAAACATAAAAATGTATTAAAATAATTGTTGGACTTTGTCCATTTCATAATATATATATATATATATATATATATATATATATATATATAGAGAGAGAGAGAGAGAGAGAGAGAGATATGTTTGCGTATATCGGTGTTTGTATGGTAGTGGGAGGAAAACCTGTCGTCGGAACGCCACTCATACTTACGCAAACATACACGCACGTATATTCACTCATTAACGTACGCAGACATACATACACGCATGCTCTCTCATTAGAGCTCAAACAAACATAAACATATATGAACAGTGTGGGATTGGGCATATATTAACACGCAATTTTATCTAGCATAGTCTTACACAGACCCCATCATAAAAAAAGAAAACAGACAGATAGAAGATGTGTGAACGTGTGTGCATACGTATATACGTGTGTGCGAGAAAACATTATTCGGTGAACAAAACAGACGAACGGTCTGCGCGTCGACACTGCAACTGACGAAAGATATTCGCTACACGATCCAACATTGAATACAGATACCAATTGTGTACGTATGTACGCAACGACACATGGATGCGCATATATGCTTAGTCTCACACTGTTCATATATGTTAATGTTCTACTACTTCTCTGAAAAGCGCCCTCCTGTACACAGAAAATAGATTCTGATAGGTGTGCTAGTTATCTTAAAATCATCTTCCTGTACACAGCAAATAAATCCTGGTAGGTCCACTACTTCCCTTAAAATAATTTTCCTGTACACAGGAAATAATTTCGGTGAGAAAAAAAGTTGTTGCACTTTCTAATTTGGTTTGAATTTAAATTTTCCGTTTTATTCATTTAAATTTTAATTTTATTTTCATTGCGTTTTCAGAAATTTATCTAACATTTCGATTTAATTTAATATTTAGTAATTTTATAAATGTAATATAATTTATAAGATTTAATTCATTACCATTTGTTTTCATTGCAATACACTGATTTTATTCCCGTACTGTGTGTCTGTGTCGTTTTCATTTTTTTTTTTTTGAAATATCGCGAGATCGTATATCTCGTCTGCTGCATCCGGCGAAAAATCAGTCAGCAAATTGTTATTTCCAGTTTTACGTGAGGTCCAATTATCCAGTGGATTCCAGCTGCATTCTTCCTTCCGGTTAAGCTATTACGTAATTTCCTGTCCTCCCATTGACGTTTGCTTGTGGCAGAAATGTTTTTATTTGATAGAGCAATCACCTGACAGAACGATGAATAAATTATTTCTAAAATCTTATTTAATTATAACCGTCTTAACAAATGCCGTGGCCTTCAATAAATGCAGCCTGTTTGGACGTGTTTTGAAGCTAAAATTTCTATCGTACCAATGGTCAGTGTTAGAATCCAAATAAAAATTGATCTTTGATTTTGAAGACAAGCAGGCTAAAAAGGAATAGGAGATACTAATTCCCTTGTAAATAAGAGTTCAAAATATTGGCTCTTAACTTGTATTGAACACTGAATATTGGAGTTAATAGGAAAAAGGTATTTATTTATCCAACTTTGCGCATTTAGGACATTGTCCTTTGTCAAGAAATTTGTTTATTCGTCTTTTTTTCGTTGTAATTCATTAAATCTTGCTTGAAACGTCTTTATTATTTGACAGGACCTCAAAACTTTAACTGGTCTCTCTTTTTTTTCGAGAATTTTACTGCTCTCTCTCTCTTTTCAAGACTGTCTGGTCTCTCTCTTTTTTTCAAAAAATTTACTGCTCTCTCTCTCTCTCTTTTCGAGACTGACTGGTCTCTCTTTTTTCAAAAACTTTACTGCTCTCTCTCTCTATTTTTTCGAGACTGACTGGTCTCACTCTTTTTTCAAAAATTTTACTGCTCTCTCTTTTTTAGAGACTGACTGGTCTCTCTCTTTTTTCGAGACTTTTATTGGTCTCTCTTTTTCGAGACATTCACTGGCCGCTATTTATTTTAAAAATTTTAACAGTCTCTTTCTATTTTTTTTTGACTTTGACTGGCTTTTCTCGTTTTACAAGACTTTGACTATTTTCTCTTTTTTTTGAGACTTTGACAGCCTTCTCCCTTTTTACGAGACTTTAACTGGTCTCTATTTTTTCCATACTTTAACTGGTCGCGCATTTTCGAGACCTTTATTGGCCGGTCTCTTTTTTTCAAAACTTTAGCAAGTCTCTCTCTCTCTTTTCGAGACTGACTGGTCTCTCTCTTTTTTCAAGATTTCTACACATCTCTCTCTTTCTCCGGGAATTTGACTGGTCTCACTTTTTCGAAACTTTAACTGCCCTCTTTTTCCCCACTGATTTTTAACTGATGTCTCTCTTTTTTCGAAACTAAGATTTTGATTGGCATCTCTCTTTTTTTAGAGACTTTGTCTTTTTAATTTTTTTTTTCGAAACATTGCCTGGTCACTTTCTCTCTTTTCGAGACATTAAATGGTCTCTCTCTCTCTCTCTGATTCTATTCAAGTTCTCTTTACACCACACCATTTTCATAATAATAATAATAATAATAATAATAAAACACCCTATAGGTTAAATCGAAGAAGAATTTACTATTAATCTTTAATGAAAAAAAGGTTTTGGTGACCCAAAATAACCTTGAATATATGACAGCCTCGATGACGAAGAAAAGGGTGGCAGGGTTTCAATCTAATAGCAATATTTCTGAATATTGGCTCTCAAGGCAAACAGATTGACCCCTTCTGAGAGTGGTGCAGCACAATCTTCCACACTCTCTACCTTTTCTATTTGGCTCTCTGAATGAATATGTAAACCTTTTATTGTGTCCAGAAATCTTCTTTACCAGAGCAAAAAAGGAATCCAATAAAATTCTTATGTTTTGAAGTCGGTTAGACCGAGAATGTTTCTACATCACCTTTTATCTATCTATCTATCTATCTATCTATCTATCTATCTATCTATCCGCAGGTGATTACAACTGAATAATTAGTTCGTCCCTCAAATATTTTGAACCGTAAACTCAACTAAAAAAAAATGAAAATATATCAATGATAAATATATATATATATATATATAGATAATATTAGTGGAAAATATACATACATATGAAAAATATATCTAAAAAATTCCCATACATGTATATTTTCAGAAAAAATTTTCCAAGAGGAAGGATCCAGGTAGAACTCAATGTCTAAGACAGAGTAAGGATATAATAAAAAGGCTTAAACACTAATATTCCATGGTCATAATTTATTCCATTGGAATCGTAAATACGATCCAAATCATCAGACCTACAAATTCAAAATGAAAACAGAAAAAAACAACTCCGGAAATCAAAACAGAATTTAGAGAAAGTGTAAGTATGAGGATGAATGACAGAGAGAATTTTTTGGAGATGTGGGTGGGGGTGGATTTAAAAGAGGAGAGAAAGAAAGTCGACGGATGTCTAATACATAAAGATACATTTCGTGGTGACATATACACACCACAGACAATTCGGATAGGAAGGAAAAAAAAAAAAAAAAGGAAAGGTTGGGGGGAGAGGATGGGACGAAAGGAAAATAAAATGTGTTTACATAAAGGGCCGCTTCGTAATTGGGAAAATTAAATCAAATATAAATATATGAAGATGAATATAACGATTGTCTCATTTCGCAAGGACCAAATATTTCTATGTTCAAAAACACATACTAATACACACAAAAAAACATATACAAGTAGGTACATACACTTAGGCATGTACACACACACACACCCAGACATACGTGTACATGCACATACACACACACATACACACATATATATATATATACATACATACATATATATACATATACATACATATATATATATATATATATATATATATATATATATATATATATATATACATATACACACACACAAACACACACACATATATATATATATATACAAAAACCTAAAAATATATTCACATATCCACACATACACATATTCATCTATATTCATATACACACACTTTTCACATACATATACACGCATACATATGCCCCATGTATACATTCATACATACATACATACTTATACATACACATACACATACATATACATATACATACATACACACATACATATATATATATATATATATATATATATATATATATAAAGTTGAAGCCGCTTTCTGTCTGTTTGTTATCGAACTACTCCTAGGGTTTTAGATATAGACCCCCGTAACTATATATATTCTGAGACTACATAACCCAGGGTGCTTGGATAAGTATATTTCATTTTGATTAAAAGGAGTCCCAGGGAAGCACAAACCCCACGGAATTTTTTTTCCTTTGATTTAAATAAAATTTAAATTTGAACAAGGGAATGGCTTCTATCCAAAATATAGAAGGAGAAAGCCAGAAGATGGAGGTCACATCAACAAGATCAAAATGAGACAATATGGAGGTCAAGTTGAGCAAGAAATGACCAATCAGTGGATAGTGCCTTACAATACATATGTGTTGCGATAATTCAACTGTCATATCATTTTGAAATCTGCTCATCAATTCGTTCAATCAAGTATTGCATCAAATATATATCAAAAGGGGTCAGATCAGTAATTCGGTTAATATATATATATATATATATATATATATATATATATATATATATATATATATATATATATATATAATTACATAATAAAATCGATCCTTAGCTGGTATCTTGGATTCAGTCATTTTCCCATTGCCGAAACATACCTTGCCTTTTCTATAAATATTTCAGCTAGGTCTCATTATTTTACAGTTGAAGTGGCGAGAAATAACCGTAAGTTCTAACACCATCTCCTCTTGCACTTTTTGTGCCTCTGAAACTTTCTTCCGACGTTTTGCTTTCTCGTCAACTTGGATCTTCAAAAATTTAAATGGAATGTCAATCATTATCTTTTGTCTATTTAATTTCTATTATCCTCTCTCCTTAATAATGTTTTTCACAGAATCTTTCATTCTCAGTAACCCCTGGAGTCTTAGTGGCTATATTGCCTTACTTACGGTGAAATGATTAAAAAAAATGTATTCACGAACACATCTAAAATGTATTGATAGCACAAGCCTGCTTAAACTTCACAAAGAGAAATGTGTAATTTGATTTGTTGTGTATAATAAATGCTTTTTTCTTCATTAGGCTACGGATTTACTGATGTAACTACGTATATATATATATATATATTTATGTGGATTTGTGTGCATATGTATCCCTATTCAAATACGAATCTTTACACTTACACACACACACTCACACACACATAAATATATGTGTTTGTGGTTATGTGCGTGTGTATGTGTGTGTGTGTGTGTGTGTGTGTATGCATGTGTGTGTGACTATATTTGCTGTATTATTTATAAAAAGCTGTTTCAGAGCACAATAAAAGAAAGTGCAAAAATCAATTGTGTTTGGCTGTTTCGAGGATCGGCCCCGGAGCAAGGAAATATTTCAATATGTAGTTTGCTTAGAGCAGAGTCCTATGAAGAATTTCTTGTGTCTCTGCCACAGAAAAGGCATCGTATTTGCCGTAGGGTAGAGGCCGCTGGGTCCTGTCGTGTGTGATTGTTAGATATGTAAGCGAGGGAGAAAAAAAAAAACTGACATTGGTACAGATACCGTTTCGTTCTCTGAAAAATGTTATTTCAAAGACGAATCCGAATTGTTGGGGGCGGTGAAGTGGGAAAATATGATTTGAACGGCAATTAAGTTAGTTAATATAATTTAATGTGGGTTAGCCTCGGAGAATAACAACAGAGAAAGAAAGAACGGAAAGGAAGAAGGTGAAGGAAAAAGGGGAAATGAAGAAGGTGAAGGAAATAGAGGAATTGAAGAAGGGGAAAGATAAAGAGGAAAGGAAGAAAGTGAAGGAAACAGAGGAAAAGAAGAAGGTGAAGGAAAAAGAGGAATTGAAGAAGGGGAAAGATAAAGAGGAAAGGAAGAAGGTGAAGGAAAAAGAGGAATTGAAGAAGGGGAAAGATAAAGAGGAAAGGAAGAAGGTGAAGGAAACAGAGGAAAAGAAGAAGATGAAGGAAATAGAGGCTAAAATTAATGAAGACAAGCTGATAAAGAGGAAAGGTCAGGAAAGGAAGTAAAATGATGAGACTTAGTTGGAAGCTAAAATTAATGAAGAAGAGGGAAAAATAAAGAAATGATGAGACTTAGTTGCCAATCAAGTACAAAGCTAAAATTAATGAAGACAAGCTGATAAAGAGGAAAAGACAAGAAGGAAACTAATGAAGAAAGTGAAAAAGGAATTGAAGAAGGGTTGATAAAGATTAAAAAGGCTAAAATTAATGAAACAAGCTGATAAAGAGGAAAAGGTCATTTGAAGAAACTATGAGAAAAAAATGAGACTTAGTTGCCAATCGAGTACAAGGGAAAAATTAATGAAGTCAAGCTGATAAAGAAAAGAGGTAAAATGAAGACTTAGGGAAGTAAAAGGCTAAAATTAATGAAGTCAAGCTGATAAAGAGGAAAGGTCATGTGAAGAAACTATGAGTAAAATGATGAGACTTAGTTGCCATTGAAGGCTAAAATTAATGGACAAGATAAAAGAGGAAAGGAAGAAATGTGAAGAAAATGAGTAAAATGATGAAGGTTGAAGGAAAAAGAGCTAAAATTAATGAAGACAAGCTGATAAAGAGGAAAGGAAATTGAAGAATGAGTAAAATGATGAAAGTTGCCAATCGAGTAAAAGGCTAAAATTAATGAAGACAAGCTGATAAAAGGAAAGGTCATGTGAAGAAACTATGAGTAAAATGATGAGAGAAGTTGCCAAAGGAGTAGAAAGGCTAAAATTAATGAAGACAAGCTGATAAAGAGGAAAGGTCATGTGAAGAAACTATGAGTAAAATGATGAGACTTAGTTGCCAAAAGTAAAGGCTAAAATTAATGAAGACAAGCTGATAAAGAGGAAAGGTCATGTGAAGAAACTATGAGTAAAAATGATGAGACTTAGTTGCCAATCGAGTACAAGGCTAAAATTAATGAAGACAAGCTGATAAAAGGAAAAGAAGAAATGAAGTAAAATGATGAGACTTATTTGAAGTAAAAGGCTAAAATTAATGAAACAAGCTGATAAAGAGGAAAGGTCAAAAGAAATATGAGTAAAATGATGAGAGGAAGTTGCCAATCGAGTACAAAGGCTAAAATTAATGAAGTCAAGCTGATAAAGAGGAAAGGTCATGTGAAAAACTATGAGTAAAATGATGAAACTTAGTTGCCAATCTGAGAAAGTAAAAAGGCTAAAATTAATGAAGACAAGCTGATAAAGAGGAAAGGAAAGGAAGAAAAGAAATGAGTAAAATGATGAGACTTATTTGCCAATGAAGAGTAAAAGGCTAAAATTAATGAAGTCAAGCTGATAAAGAGGAAAGGTCATGTGAAGAAACTATGAGTAAAATGATGAGACTTAGTTGCCAATCGAGTACAAGGCTAAAAAAATTAATGAAGTCAAGAAATTGATAAAGACAAGAAAAGGTAAAATTAATGAAGAAACTGATAAAGAGGAAAAATGATGAGACTTAGTAAAAAGAAGAGCCAACAAGGCTAAAATTAAAAATTAATGAAGTCAAGCTGATAAAATGAGAGAAATTTCCAATCAAGAAGAAAATGAAGTCAAGCTGATAAAAATGATGAGGAAAGTAAAATGATGACCAAGAGTAAAAGGCTAAAATTAATGAAGTCAAGCTGATAAAGAGGAAAGGTCATGTGAAGAAACTAGAGTAAAAATGATGAGACTTAGTTGCCAAAGAGTACAAGGCTAAAATTAATGAAGTCAAGCTGATAAAGAGGAAAGGTCATGTGAAGAAACTATGAGGAAAATGATGAGAACTTAAAATTTGAGAAAAGGAAGTACAGGGCTAGCTAAAATTAATGAAGTCAAGCTGATAAAAAGAAGGAAAGAGGAAAATGTGAAGAAACTATGAGTAAAATGATGAGACTTAGTTGCCTGATAAAA